GGCTCTGCCTCTAGATAGGCAGAGCCAGCTGTCACTCACGCAGCTGGGCGAATCCCGGCACAATTGTCGGGATCCGCTCCGCCTGCGGCGTCTCCGTATACCGCGAGCTGTAGCTCCCTATATACTGAGCCTAGGGTGACGGGAGGACGCTAGTTTGTGTCCCCCCGTTACCCTAAGGAGAACTATGGGGAAAAGCCCTGACCCTATAGTTCTCCTTTAAAGGAGAAATGTAAAAAAAAAAAAAATAGGCTTTAATATCACTTTAAGATAACAAAGTAAAACATTTATAATTTTTTTAACCACATCTATATACAATTTAGGTTTTCTTTTGGCGATGATGTCTTGTAAAAATGATGTTATTTTTATGCAATCTATAGCAATATCCTATATCAAAAAATAAACAAAAAAAGTAAACAAAAAAAACAAAAAAAATGTTTAGAAAAAAATGTAAAAGCAGAATAAAATAAATAAATAGATAAATAAAATCAGCAGGAAAATAATAGTCCAGGGGAGAAGAGGAAGAAGGTGTTAATTAGGTCTAAGTAGGGGAAACTAGGGGCTAATAATGGGTTAAAAATTAATTATTATTTTTCTTCGTTTGCTTTAAGTGATTTCAACCCCCTCTTACGATCCCTCCACTGGCTTCCATCCCCCACCCCCCTCTGCCGATCCTTACACTGGCTTCCACTCGCCCAAAGGATAAAATTCAAAATCACTTACAAAGCTGTGCACAACTCCGCCCCCCGGCTATATCTCCAACCTTGTCTCAAAATATCACCCTAACCGTCCCCTCCGCTCTTCACAAGACCTCCTGTTCTGTAGCTTCATTGTCAACTCCTCCCATGCTCGCCTCCAGGACTTTTATACAGTCTCTCCCATTCTCTGGAACTCTTTACCCCAACCTGTCCGTCTGTCTCCCACTCTGACTGCCTTTAGGCGATCTCTTAAGACTCATCTCTTCTGGGAAGCCCATCCCACCTCAACCTAACCACTGAACTATCACGTTCTCAAACAATTCATCCCCACACAGCTCCCTTCTCATGTATCACTGGCTCCTCCCTTTTAGATTGTAAGCCCTCAGGAGCAGGGCCCTCCTTACCATCTTGTCTTGTATTGTATTGTGACTGTAATGTCTTCCGCAAACTGTTGGCGCTCTATAAATCCTATATAATAATAGTAATAATAATAATTTAATGGGCCGATTGCAGCTCATCCCTTGGAATGGAACAGTGCAAATGTTACCTTGTATCTCTGAGTTCCATATGTGAACAAGGTTTATCAGCACTGTCTTATGGTCCACTTTGCATTGGGGGAGAGACAGCCCTGTGTATTTCGATGGCAAGTATTTGGGGCGTGCCTGTCCTTGTCCTGTCCTTCTCCCTCCATACACACACACATATATCCTTCTACTTCTCCGGCAGAAGCAGCAGGGGGCAGTACCTATGCTGCATTGAGCCGTGCCCATATAATGATGCGTGAGCACAGCTTAGTGCATTAATACTCTCAGGCCAGGAGTGATGACGCCTCCCCAGGGGGTGTGTCCATGACAGCCAGGTCTCAGAGGAATTGGAATGAATGACACTGGCTGTCATTTAACATCCCTGGCTGTCTGATTATTTCCTTTT